AAAGGGCGAAGGCCCTATTGTTTTCCTTGGGATTATTATTCTTCTTTAGTATTATTATTATTTTGCTACCTTTTGGGCACTTTTGGGGCCCTTAACATGCTCGAAAACTCTTGAAACTTTGCACACGGGTCAGAACCCGCGGCCATCAGAGCCGGGCTGAAGCTGGTACCCGGGCGTGGCAGGGCGGCTCGTCAGCGCCCCCTGGAACGGGGTCCGAACACTTGGTCCATAACTCAAACACGCTTGTATGTAATAATATGAAACTCGGTACACATGTTGATCTCATCGTTTCATCTATACCTCACACTCTTACTTTTTACCCCAGCCCAACAGGAAGTCGGCTATTGAGGTTTGTTTGTAAAACGCTCGCAATGGAATGTCATATACTCCTCCTAGAGCTTTGATCCAAATTCGACGAAACTCGGTCAGCGTGAAGTCAAGACATTGAGGATGAAAGTTTGCGAGGGGATTTTTTATATCTCGAACGGTTTGTCCGTGGCGAGGAAACGAAATCATGGCGAGAAACGTGAAACAGGAAGTGTGTTATAACTTCAGCATACATTAACTGATCTTGATGAAACTTCAGCAGTGTGTTCGCTGTAAGAGGACGATCACATGGATGTGACTATTGTGACTCAAAGTTATAGCGCCACCAACTGGCAGCAGGAAGTGTGTCACTTTCAAAATGCTTTGATATCACCCTTTTATTTTTACCCGATTTGCTTCAAACTTCATCTGTATAATGTAAACATAGGGCAGATGTAGACCTGTGAATGGATTCTTGATATCTTTGAAACTTTTGCCGTGGCAACGCATCAAACTTTACCATTCTTTTAGGATGCTTTTGAGACTCTTAGCATGCTTTAAATTGCATGAAACTCGACAGACACATCACATTTATTAGCCAGTAGACATGTGCAAAGTTTCAGAAACGGGCGTGGTGAGGGCTCAGTAGCGCCACCTTTTGACAAAAGTGGGGTTGTTAGTTTTATCTACAGTTACAAAAATCGGTATGTATATTGTACTCCTCGAGCCGGACAACTTTCTAATTGACACTCATTAGCTAGGACCCACAGAAAGTCAGATATGTTTGTTTGAATGTAGAGAAAATCTCAGAATTTTGCCAGTGTCTCAGTGTCCCTCTGTGTGAGTGAGAGGAGGGGCGCCTGTCAGGTTAATTTTAACCCTTTATTTGCTGTGTGCGACTTCTCTGGCATTTTCGGGGGCCTTAACATCCTCGAAAACTCTTGAAACTTTGCACACGGGTCAGAACCCATGGCAATCAGGGCCGGGCTGAAGCTGGTAACCGGGCGTGGCAGGGTGGCTCGACAGCGCCCCCTGGACTGGGATTCGAACATTTGTCCATAAATCAAACACACTTGCATGAATTAATATGAAACTCGGTACAATTATAGATCACATCAGGCCAAACAACTTTCGTGCTCTAAGTTTTATTACAGTTCAAATGGAAGTTATTTATGAATTATGAATTATGGGTTGTTTGAATAATTGTCCTAGGACAAATACATCAAATTACAACGCATGTGTTTACCAATCACAACCAAACTCGGTGTGCATGAAGTCAAGACATTGAGGATGCTCAATTCCGGACGGATTTTTGATATCTCGAACGGTCTGGCCGTGGCGAGGAAATGAATTTTATGACTAAAAAAGGACACATAAAGTGTGTTATAACTTTGCTCATTTTACCTACAGTTACAAAACTTGCCACGTATATTGTTCTCGTCAAGCCGATCAACTTTCCAATTTAAAGTCATTCGCTCTGAGCAACAGAAAGTCAGATATTGTAGGTTGAATGGATTTAATTCCCCTGCGATTCTCTCTCTCTCTCTCTCTCTCTCTCTCTGTGTGTGTGTGTGTGGGTGTGTGTGTCTGTGTGGGGAGGGGAGGGCTGTTGTCTGTGTTTATGTGTGTGTGTGTGGCTGGCTGTTATTTTTCCTACAAGTCCTTGTCTCTAAGTCCTTGTCTTTTTGCATAACAATTTTGCATAACAATATTTTTAAATGACAAAATAGGCATATAACCCCCATCTTTTAAATGTATAGATTGCTTTAAATAAAAGTAAGATTGTATTTGTAATTGAAGTTGAATAAATTTAAAATTCATGTGCTATATTTCAATATATTTGTTTTCCTTAAGATTTTAAAACACTAACTTCATTCTTATCTGAATTACAAATATTTGTTTCTGTATAAAATAATACTCTGACTAAAAACACATTTGATGTTTTTTTTTGGTATTTTTATTTACATGTATTTATGTGTGTGTGTGTGTGTGTGTGTGTATAAAGTGCAGGGTTTTTTTAGATAAAGTAGAATTTCAATAACTATGTGTTGAACTAATAAATCACTCTTGTGTGTGTTAAACACAATCTACTTAATACAGACAACTTCATTATAAAGATAAATAACAAATCCAAAAAATATATGATTATAATCTATGACAAAAAAAGCCATTACAAACTATATTATTGGAAAATACACATTGCTCTTTGTATTGTTGTAAAATATTCATGAAAAACAAGATAACAAAAATCAAAAAGATAAATTATTTTAGATATAGCCATGTTTTAAATGTATAGCAGAGATGTTAATTGAGGCAGCAACATACAAACTTTCTAGAACAACATGGACCTGGATAGCTGGTTTTTATGGAGGACAGTGAAGAGGAAGAGGGTGCAAATCAAACAGCTCATTCTCAGACTACACAGCAAACAGCTTAAGTTTTTAGTGCTTTGTTTGAGGTTTTTAGTGCTCTGTCCTATCTATTATCAACATATAATAGATGGAACAGAACAAGAAAGGCAATTAATAATCTGTCATTGCGTCACTGCATTATGATATGAAAGGCTCAGTACAGTGTGGCACAAAACGCTTATGCGCATCCCGAGTGGAGAATGATGCGCTTAAAGCCACATGGAGTTACAGCGCACAGCGCATCGAGTCCGCATTGATGCAAGCTCTACAATACACTTCTTTTTGATAGTCAAAGCGGGGGTTACGTTTTTACACGTCGTACAGAATAACCCTAAAGGCACCAAGGTGGCGGTGCCACCGGCTTTATATTAAATATAAATATAGCTGTGAGCAGCGATAAAGGGCCAAAGCCGGCGGTACCACCATCCCGGTGCCTTTGGGTAACTAAAGGCATCGGGGTTGCGGTGCCACCGGCTTGGGCCCGCAATCGCTGCTCGCAGCTATATTTCTCATTGATTCAATCATTCAACCTGCCTCCATTACATAGGCTTTTTCCCATTATTATAAAGTGTTTGATTAGCACATTTGAGTGATTCCAGCAAAAAATGTGTTTAAGTATATATTATATACAGTAACAGTACTAGTCAAAGGTTTGGACACACGAATGCGAAAGGGTGTCCAAACTTTTGATTACTGTACTATAATATACAAAGAATACCAGCCAATATATTGATATCAGACCTTTTTTACCTTATTTCTTCCACTTAACCAAAATCTATATAGAGAGATAATATATACAGTATATATAGAGATATATATATATATATATATATATATATATATATATATATATTATGAATCATTTTAAAAGAGAACAATACATCAAGTTTGTAAACTAATAAGCATTCAACTGTATCTTTAGCTGAGCCCAGCTGCTTACATCAGAGTAATGTCGGACACTGACTGCACTCGGACACATTTATAACCGGCATGCACTTCGCAGTGATCTGTTCAGCACAGATTTTGCTCATGTAAATTTCCATACGAGCCTAATCTGTTTACATACATGGGCTTCGAAAAAAACGCACTGTTTACGCTCTCCTTGCGCCCGTTTCACGCCCGTTTCACACATACTCCGTTTGCAGTGCGTATGCGGTCCGTATTTTTTTCCGTACCCATGTTAACAGGTTAGAGCTTTCACACTGCACGCGGATGCAGTCCGTCGATCCGTTCCAGTTGCGGTGCGTATACAGCAGTGCAGAGATCGTTTCCGTACCGAGTCTATTTCTGCTGTGCTGCAAACGCAGAAATAAAGTGACAGCGCACGGTTCGTGGTCAAAATGAACTCAGATTGACCTCGAAATGAAGTAGTTTCACCATAAATGCATTTAATTCAATAAAATGTAGTAATCTCTCCAAAAAGGTATTTAATTGTTTCATAGTTTTACTTTAAGACATCTTAATATATGCATGGAATTGTATATTCGTTGTTTAAATCGTGTTTAAACGAGCATGCGTCCATTCAAGTTTGTAAAAGAGAATCGCAAAGCCATGGCAAAACTTTTATTTTAATAAAAGTTGCTGCATATGGTGAACATATTTTGATTACCAAAAACCAGGACACATGGCCAAGTTTACTCAAAGATGCCTTATTAATTTCAATACAATTAAAATAGGCTATGCCTCCTCTGTGGATAGAAAATTGTTATATTAAGACACAAATTCAGATAGGCTTCTCAGAGGATACTCAACATGTTTTATTATGACAGGTTGGTTTAAAAAATAATGAATGAAATAATGATTAAAAAATAATGTCTCTTCTGAATTAGAAAAATAAATATATAAATATTAATTAACTAAAAGAAATACCTTCAAATTGAACAAAAAATACCTCTCACAAACGTACAGAAACGAACTAGTTTTCTTCCTCTTTATCCTGTTTTTCTTCCTCATCCTCCTTGTTTGTTCATCTCCTATATTTAGCTGTAAAGCTGATCTTTTCCAGCGGTTTTTTTTATTTTATTATTATTATTCATTTTTATTTTTTTTTTGAAAACCAGGACATCACTTTATAAAAAACGGCCAGGACAGGACGTGAAAACAGGACTGGGATAACAGGACTGTTGGTCACTGGTCACGGTATTGCTGCATAACTTCTGATTTTGAAATAAAAATAGCCAGTGTTTGTGGTACAGCTCACGCACTGCAAACGCAGCATATGTGAAAGCACTTTAGCGCGTGCGGCTCCTGTACCGGATACGCACCGCAACACTCAACGCATACGCACTGCAAACGGAGTATGTGTGAAACGGGCGTCACACATACTCCGTTTGCAGTGCGTATGCAGTCCGTATTTTTTTCCGTACCCATGTTAACAGGTCAGAGCTTTCACACTGCACGCCGCACGCGGATGCAGTCCGTCGATCCGTAGCAGTGCAGAGATCGTTTCCGTACCGAGTCTATTTCTGCTGTGCTGCAAACGCAGAAATAAAGTGACAGCGCACGGTTCGTGGTCAAAATGAACTCAGATTGACCTCGAAATGTAGTAGTTTCACTATAAATGCATTTAATTCAATAAAATGTAGTAGGCCTAATCTCTCCATAAAGGTATTTAATTGTTTCATATTTTTACTTTAAGACATCTTAATATATAAGTAATGCATGGAATTGTATGCATTCGTTGTTTAAATCGTGTTTAAACGAGCATGCGTCCATTCAAGTTTGTAAAAGAGAATCGCAAAGCCATGGCAAAACTTTTATTTTAATAAAAGTTGCTGCATATGGAGAACATATTTTGATTACCAAAAACCAGGACACATGGCCCAGAAAACAAATGATACTCGAAGTTTACTCAAAGATGCCTTTATAATTTCAATACAATTAAAATAGGCTATGCCCCCTCTGTGGATAGAAAATTGTATAAGACACAAATTCAGACAAAACAAATTCTTTCAGGCTTCTGAGAGTATACTCAACATGCTTTATTGTGACAGGTTGGTTTAAAAAATAATGAATGAAATAATGATTTAAAAATAATGTCTCTTCTGTATTAGAAAAATAAATATATAAATATTAATTAACTAAAAGAAATACCTTCAAATTGAACAAAAATACCTCTCACAAACGTGCAAAAACGAACTAGTTTTCTTCCTCTTTATCCTGTTTTTCTTCCTTATCCTACTTGTTTGCTCATCTCCTATATTTTGCTGTAAAGCTGATCTTTTCCAGCTTTTTTTTTTTTTTTTTTTTTTTTTTTTTTTGAAAACCAGGACATCACTTTATAAAAAACGGCCAGGACAGGACGTGAAAACAGGAATGGGATAACAGGACTGTTGGTCACTGGTCACGCTATTGCCGCATAACTTCTGATTTTGAAATAAAAATAGCGAGTGTTTGTGGTACAGCTCACGCACTGCAAACGCAGAATATGTGAAAGCACTTTAGCGCGGCGTGCGGCTCCTGTACCGGATACGCACCGCAACACTCACCGCATACGCACTGCAAACGGAGTATGTGTGAAACGGGCTTAAGGCCAATTTATACTTCTGCGTCGAGGGTACGCCGTAATGTACGGCGTTGGCTACGCACGTAGGCGACGCCGTTGTGAGCATTTATACTTCTGCGTTCAGGTCTTGGTTGCTCTGCAGTACTGCTCCGAAACGCTAGTTGGCGGCGGAGAGTTTTAATGTTCCACTGTGTTTAGATTCCTCGCGGCTAGGTTACTACGAGTGAAAGAGAGCTGATCATGTTGGAATTGGAGCTTATTAAGGTGGAAAAACAGTTCACTTTAGTGAAATTACTAAAACTGAAAGGCAGAAATGAGAGAAGACTTCGGAGGAGATGAAACTTGTGGAAATCATAGACAGTGGTGGAAATGCGTGAGAAGGTACGTGCGGAAATGCGTAGGAGGAAATGCGATGCTACCAAGCCGACCAATCACCGATCTTGCGGTCCGCGTCGTCGCGACGTGTAGTTACATTTTTGAGGAGGTGCGCGTCAGGCGACGGCGAAGGGTACGCGGTATGGGACGCGTCTGTGCGTATGCTACGCCGTACCTACTGCGCGCACCCTACGCAGAAGTATAAATTGGCCTTTAGACCTTCAGTGTAAATCGGCCAGAAGTTATGATAAGTGATAAACAGTGGCAGTTCACATTCCTCCCGAAGGCATGGGCTTTGGAGGTGATAAGAGGTATGGTAGGAGTTTTTAGTTGTTAAGCTTGTCCTACCTGCAGAGGAGTCGTCGTCATGGTCTGAGCTCAGGTATCCGTCAGGTGTGCTGCGTCCAGACCCGTGAGAGCCGCGGAGCGCCAGTGAAGGAGATAGCCTGCCGTCATCAGAGTCCAGATCTCGACTCATGCGGGCCAGAGGATTCAGCCGATGACTCTCCCGGACGTTGCTCTTTGGGTTGAGAATGTTATTTTGCAGGAATTTTACGTTGAGCTCCACGTCCTCGAACTCGTGGTCACTGTCCCGCTCGCTGCTCCGTTGCTCGGCAACACACAGAGAGATGTCACGAGGAGGGAGGGGGGTGGGCTTACCTGTCCTGCCGACCCGTAGTATGTCCCGGGCGAAAGGCTCAACTTCATCTCTGCTGTCTGTATCACATGTATTGTTTTTCTTTGAATCTGCCTTGTTCCAACATTTCTCAACGTCGCAACGTTTTTTCTTCCGCGCGATTGTGGTCTGAAGGTAAATCACCTTGAACTTCTCTTCCGACAGAGCCTGCTGTAATACCTTCAGATTGGTTTTGCATTTCTCCAGCTCTACTTCTATGTCCTCCACCGAGTGGAGATTCATCACGGGCACTTCGCCTTCGGGAAACTCATTCCTCCAGTGCTTCTCAAATTCCGCCTGTTCCCACATTGTCCAACAAGAGTATGGGGGAGGGAAAGTCCTTGAATATGTCTTGTTCCTGCTAAAACAACTTGGGTTCACTGCCTCAGACACCGGTTGTGAAGTAGTGACTGCTCATTTTCCCTCGCTGATCCACTTACTCACATACGCCACTGATCAGTTTACAACTGAAAAAACTTTCAGCTTCCGCTACTTTGAAAAGTCTTGACGTCAACAGGACACGGAGCCTATCAGATCCATTGGCCGTTTACATTTAGAAGTGCAAAACCCCAGCTTATGGTTGCTTTTTTACACTACATTTAAGCCACACCTGTTGAGTAAATAAACGTTCGCTTATTGAAAAACTATTCAGTTCTGGTTGACAAATTAACTTTTTAAAATGTAAATAAATAAATAAATGTAGCCTATGTAGTTTAGATGCTTACGAAATAAGCAATATTAAGTAAAATAACAGTGCACATTGAAGTAAACAAGTAATAGTACAAATAAAGTGCAAGTGTAAACAATAAAAAATGAACAAAAAATAAACAATTCTTAATCGTAATATTGTACATAACAATATTGTTAACAAAACACTAACTTAATAGGCCTATAAATTATATGATAGCAGCATAATATAAGTATACATGTTCTCATTATTTTAGTAGTAATAAATACAGTCAAAAGACATACAAAGAATATTTGAGTGGATCAAAAGATTTAGTTTCATTGTTTTACAAGCAGTTCACTTTTTTGCATTTATTTCATACAGTCTACAAGAAAACAACCAGTCAAATGTAGTCATCATCCCCGTTTACACTCTTAAAAATTAAGGGGGTTTTCACCGCAGTGCCTAAGAACCATTTTGGATTCCCCAAAATAACCTTTTAGTGAAAAGTCCTTGGAAGAACCATTTATTTCTTAGTGCGAAGATATTTAAAAATTATAAAGAAACTTTTTACACTAAAATTTTTTTGCAATTGTGATGTGTATTGTATCTTGATAATTAATGGAAATTATTTTAAATTCTGCTCTGCATTCATACTTTCGAGATAGTGGATGGAAGATTTGTGGATGGTCAGACATTTATGTCCCAGTTGACTCTAAGTAATGGTCCATTTTCTGTTCAGATCCTATTTTTTATTCAGATTCCCCTTCTCACCCCGATGTCAATACCATTAGCAGAGAAGTGCAGGACCAATTTGATATGGGTATCATAGTGTCACTGGAGAACTGGAATGGCCGGGTGCCAGCAGTTCTATGAGAAACTGAAGACGAGAGATGTGTGTCCTGATACGTCACATCGGAGACGAGTAGGGCCACAGGGCTCTGCATGGATCAATCCACATAAGATAGTGTTTGAGGAGGTAGAGATGCTACTTTTTTTGTTTTCAAAATATTACTTAGCAATTTACTTGCAACTAGCACACCATGAATATGTGTTTAATATGTATGCTGATGCATTAGCACCGGACATACAAACGCAGTTTCATGAGGAATCCATTTGAATAATACGATTTTTTATCCTTTGGTCCCATTCTATGACTATCAACTTCATGCCTTGTAAATGTATTTGTGTTGGCCCAGATAGCATGGTAACATTAATTCAATGTTGAGTTTTGATCCAAACCATCATTTTGGTTGAGATTGACATTTCAATGTGGGATGGGTCAGCATTGAAATGTTGATGAAAACCAACAGCACACATGGGTGGAGAAAGTGACATTGAACTAACGGTGATTTGTAGTTAGTGAGCACAAGATCATTCAGGCATGTATCTCTGTAGAACACTAGTGGGTGTTTCTCAGTCAGTGGGGTGTTTAAACCACAATGGGCATTTTCAACCACTTAACCCAATTTGCTCTAATCCACTGGGGGCTTGGTTTAGGGATGGGCCTTCTTGATTTTAGCTAGTCTGTTGAAAAATGGTTGAAAAACATTTATTGTAGTTTGAAATTGGCCACTGATTGGTAAACGCCAGTCTATAAATGCCAATTTTTGTTTTGCATGCGATTAATGTAATTAGATGCATTAAATATCTATTTTGTTTGAATAAAGCATATATTTTTCTACATTCTTAAAACATGCATCTTGCTTTAGTTAAGTTTTGTAAGAATTTCCTGAATAAAGTTCTAACGTCATTTAACAGATTGACGTTCTGAATATGAACATGAGCAAGAATGTTACACTACAATCAAAGTCCATGTCTTGCATCCATCAGAGCTTGCATGCAGAGCACATTGCTCCTTTAGTATGAGTGAAGGCAGATGAAGATGGACAATAAAAAAAGAGAAGCACCCTCCTGATAATAATGACATTGATTATACACTGAGTTGTTGTCGACAACATAATCACCTGAACTGGGACTTGATATCCTGCATCTTATCACTGCTTAATCAGGTAATCATTCATATTCCTGAATCTGTATTAAATTTGAGAAATGTAACTGATTTCCATTCAGTTTAACTGGTTTCCACTGAAACACAACAACAAAAAACATCTTGTGTTTATTAAGAAAGTGACTGACATGGTAATTGTGTCATATTTAAAGAAAATAAGGTCTACAAAAGGTGAATCTGCAGCTTTAAAGGGATAGTTCAGCATGAAATGAACATTATGTAATCATTTATTAACCCTCAAGTTGTTCCAAACCTGTATGAATGTCTTTCTTCTGCTGCAAACAAAAGAAGATAGAGTGAAGTATGTTGGTAACCAGACGTGATGGTTGATGTTAGCCATTGACTTCCATGGTATTTTTTTCCTACTATGGAAATCAATGGCCACGGTCAACTTTCTGATTAGCAACATTTTTTTAAATATCTTATTTTGTGTTCAACAGAAAAAAGAAACTCATACAGAGTTGGAACATGATGAGAAAATGATGATAGAATTTTCATTAAAGGGGTCATGAACTGGCTTTTTAAATTTTATTATATTGTTGTCTGAGGTCAATTTATGACGTTCGCTTGGTTTTTGCATTCAAAAACATCAAAATGAATAAGTAATTGAGAATGGGGAGTTGACGTCATTTTACAGAGCCCCTCCCCTTTCCGCCATGTTGGTAGGATTCCCACGGCAAAACAGTATTGATTACGTGTGTTTTTAGCTCGGTAGTAGAGGAGTTTCTCGCAATACCGCACTATTTTACCATGCCTGGAAGTAACTGCTGTGTTAAAAACTCCTCCAGTAACTCACACGATACATATGGAAAACATAGGAACAATGGAATACAGTTTTTGGGGTTACCGAAATTGACACAGCAGGGAGAGTCTGATCTAACGAGGAGACCCCGGATTACTGGGTTTGCTGATGCCTTTGGTATACGATTTTCACTGTTTGCTGTGCCTTACCGAACATATGCAAAAGTGTTGTTTGAGTGCCTTGTTCATTACTTTTTTATTTCATTGAAATAAATGTTTGAAACAACTGGATATGGCTTAACAATATTTATTGAGAACTGAAATATATAGGCTATTTGGACAACATAAGTTTCACGGACAACATAAGTAATAATAATAAAATAATAATACTGTTATTAATGCAAAATAACAAATATATTGATGCTGCTTCTCCAAATACAGCTGTTTTGCACTTTGTGTGAGTTTGTTTCTGTAAGGTCCCTTTTCTTTCACCTTATCTTTTAGCATTGCTTTACTTTATATTCTCAGATCCGTCTCTGTCCTGCCAAAATAATAAATGCACGAAAATTTAAAGGGGTGATGAACTGAGAAATCAAATTTTCCTTGAGCTTTTGATATCTAAGAGGTTATCATAAGAATATCCTGTAAGTTTCAGAACTGAAAACATCCTTGTTAGTCCAATAAAAGCTTTTATTGACACCAGCCTCTGAAAACGTCTCGTTTTGAAAAGTGGGAAACTATGACGTCGAAGGGGTTAAAACACCACCCCCGCAGAAGAAGATCAACACCTACTTCAACACGGCCGGTTTAGCCCCGCCCACCGATTCGCGCATTACACGCTAGTGTTAATTTTACCAGCCATTTTTAAATTTAGTTTCAGTTTTAGTCCAGTTTCAGCATCGCTTGTTAGTTTTTATCACATTTAGTCGACATCATCCCATTTTTATTTAGTCTAGTTTTAGTCGACTATAAGTCGAGCATTTTAGTCTTTATTTTAGTCCAAGAAAACATAATTTTATTCGTTTAGTTTTAGTCAAAAAAAACTGTCAACATTTTAGTCTAGTTTTAGTCAGGACATCATTTTAACCTTTTACTTTTTTGTCAGCAGATAATATTTAACATTTCCTAAAATTATTTCACAATTCAACATTTTCTCTCATCTTTTTGATAAAAAACACAATTTTAAGGAACACATGCAGACATGGAAGATGTTCTGACAATATTTGCATATTTATTTTGAACATTGTTAAGGTTCAAAGA